AATTGATGTAGAAAAGCTGTTCAATATCATCATTTAATATGGGACACGAATGCGTTTTTCATAATAATATTATTTATAAGAATACCATTTATGCAAATTACTTTTGACATGGCTTCCATTTTCGAGAAATCACTATTTTTCTACTACAAATGTCTTAAGGTTCGATTCCTGGAGGAAATAATTTTATGCATTCCAGCATTTACCAATGACTAAATTCCGTACAATTGAAAATATATATAATATCGATCATTTGTTGAGGAGCTCGATGGCTCAAGTGGTAAGCGCATTCGGCTTGCGATCGTCAAAGTTTAGCTACTTTCGCATTGGTCGGGCATTGGATGGGTGACCAAAAACTTATTATCTCACGTTAAGCTGTCGGTCCTGGCTGCATCTGCAGTCGTTAGCACCCATCCGCTCTGGGCCTGCATGGTGGGTCATAGGGAAGGCTTATGCCCCAAAAGGGTGGACTTTTATGAGTTTTCAAACTCATCGAATCATTTTAAGACATCAATTATAATGTCTTTCAGTAGAGCTGTCACATCTTCTGTTATTTCAAGTTATCATAGCAATATTACATATTTTATTGTATTTGAAAGCCAGTCATTTAGGGCGATAATTCTATGAGCACGGCCTCTTATATAATAAGAAGAAACTATATTAACCGCTGTGATATAGCACAAGCTATTATCGCCTCTAATATATTCGGGCTGGATTGCCAACGACAAAAAACATTCAATTCGCCGGCTGCTACTAACTTTTGAGTGTAGTTCGTAAAAGTTATTTAAAGATCCAATTCGGTGGTATTATAAACAGCATTTTTGGCGTAATCTTTGTGGGGTGAATAAAAGTTTTTGCACTTTTGTACCAAGATGACGCCAATAGTGCGTTCGGCCTGCGATCGTTGTTGCAACTTTCGCAATGTCCGCTCATTGGATGGATGACCAAAAACCCTTCGGTAGGCATGATAAGCTATCGGTCCCGGCTGCGTCTGCAGTCGTTAGTACCCACCAATCCGCACTGGACTTGGCAACTATGGCACCTATGTTACCAATTCCGTCCGTAGGGATGGTCTGTGGCCCAGCAGTGGGAACATTAATTGGCTGATGATGATGTTATGTTTCTTTTGTGTATTTTATCTCTGCTTTGTCTTAAAGATAAGTTACATATAAAAAACTATGTAGAGTGTGTGCGGACAGAGAATGGGCGTGGCGAAAAACGGAACTAACATTAAGATTTTTATTTGGCAATCAAACCCAGCAATCTGTAAAACGTCAAAGTTTTGTATTGACACGGATTTGTTTGTTGTTGTGATTTCTTGCGGTTTTTTGTACTTAATCATGTCTAAAAGGGGTAAAACCTTACAAATACGGTAGAAAAGCACTACAGCGCCCTCCTATCTAAATCCCATTCTCTTTCCGCACAGGCTCTATGTAGAAAGATTTGATACTAATTTAGAGAGTATATCCCGTGGTCTGTGAAAGCAAAATGGCCGCCAAAACCCTCTGTTATATTTCGTGTTCTACAGAACCTATTGTCATCATTTATATGTCTTAAATCAATCTTAAATATTTTCTGCATCTAATTCTATTTATCTATTCTATATCTAAATAAAGGTGTCGATTCTGGCATGTTTCTCTAAATCTAAAACAATACAGGGAGATAAAAACAGCCCTTGCTGAGTTTCTTGCCGGTTCTTCTCAGTACAAGGTCTCCCGCCGTAGTTTTGCGAACCGACGGCGTAGCTTCTTGACCTTCACAATTGCTTGTAACAGCCTAGACTGAATAAATGACTTTTCATTTCATAAACTTAAATTTGACAGCAGTGTATGCTTGTCCATGCCCTATATAGAATGAAAAGGAGGAATCTAGTGTTAAGTTAAGAGAACGATGCCAGAATCAATATCATTGTATTATAATATTGCGTGGCAGAAATCCGCCACTTCCACAGACAGTGGTCTTTTGACGTTGGCAGAAATCAGCCGTTTACATAGACCACGGCATAATACGAGTATAAAATATGCCTAGTGGATTTTCTGCAGAGGAAATAGTAACCTCTACTTTATAGGAGACCACAGTGAAATAACACTACCTTTTGATGGCGTTGTGTTTCTGTCGAGGAGCTCAATGGCGCAAGTGGTTAGTGCGATTGTTGAAGTTAAGCAACTTTCGCAATGGTCGGTCATTGGATGGGTGACCAAAAATGTACTATCTCGAGCTCCTCCGTGCTTCGGAAGGCACGTTAAGCCGTTGGTCCTCGTTAGCACCCACCAATCCGCACTGGGCCCGCGTGGTGGGTCACGGCCCAAACTATTCCATCCATAGAGAAGGCCTGTGCCCCAGCAGTGGGGACATTAATAGGCTGATGATGATGATGATGTTTTTCTATCGGTGAGTGAGGTTGCAATGCTCCACGCGGTAGGGTTAGGGTTTATCGCAAGCGTCCATAAGCTATGGCGGCGGCTTACCAAGAGACAGGCTATGTTCTTTCTCGCTGCTCTTTCAAAAAAAACTGTCTCAGCCATATTCTACAGCATATTTGACGGTCAGCCAAATCCATGAGGAAAATGGTATGAACCTGTCCTGTGTATGTGGGGCCCATTATTTACCCCCTCCTCCCCCTTGTCAGCAAAAGTAAGCAAAGCTCCCCCCCCCCATGCTTACGTAAACATTGGTACCTATATGCAGTTTTCCTTTAATGTATTCTGATTTTTTTTATTATTTCATGAGCTTCATGAGCAGCAGTATATAAATAGGATAGAGCACTTTAACGCACATAATATTGATTTAAATAAACTTTATTGACACAGTATTCAACATAGAGAAAGGTACAAATATTAAAATAAATAATCTTATTAAGTACTATTACGAACTAAACACACTTCTTTCGATTTTTTGCTATACATATTAATTCTAATTAACAGTCTTCAGTCAATGGCGAATCCATTTTGCTGACGTAATGACTATCTCGACCCCCCACCCCCCAAGTCATAAAAAATAAGCAAAGCTAAGACCCCCATGCCCCCCTATAGTGCTTACGTAATACTTGAACGGCCCCTGTGTAGCTCGTGTTATTAAAGCAAGGAATCGCAAATGACGACCTAAAACATTCTATCTCTTTCGCACATGCTATCCTTAGTAACGTGCGAGTGAGACGGAATATCTTGCGTCGGCATTTGGTTCCTTTCTTTCATAACACGAGTTTGAATGTATCACAATTTTTCTTATTGTTACTGTGGTTTTTCTATAATTTGTGTTTTATTGTCTTATTCATAAGGATTCATAGTTAATAAGAGTCTTGTACTGTGTGTTGTATTCTTATTAGTTTCTAATGTTAAGCACCAGATGGGTGATCGTTTTTGGTCCAATGATATAATCAAGAATTCGCCCCTAATGTTGGTTACTCTTGGAATAATTATTATAGTTGCAGTGAAAAGAAATAAAGCAATAGAAAACAAAATGGCTGACGGAAGCAGCGATGAAAAATCATTTTTTTATTATGCTTCTAAAAGTAGTGTCATTATAATATAACGTAGTCCTTGTTTATAGTCAAATAGAATATATGTTTGTGTAGAATTCAGGCTGTGAAAAGCGAGACGCAGGTTCGAACCCTGCAAGGATTTGGCTAAAATGAATTATACTTACTGTAAATCTGATCAACTACATTAACCGTACCAAAAATTTATTTTTAAATTTGAATACTGTGTTTTTTTTTGCGTGGACACAATTTTTTTATCCTTTTTGTTAAGTCTTGTCATATACCTCCTATTTATTCTGGAATTAATCTAGGATAATGGTATTTTAAAAATGTCTGAAAAATATTAAACAAGATTATTTTGTATTGGGAAATTTTGTCTCCAAAGAAACTGCGAAGAGATAACAGACTATGATCACTCTATAATGTTTATTATACGATACGAACTTACAGCTTCTTTCTTTTATTAAGTGTATATAATGATTTATTTTATAATTATGATGAAATGCAAAACGAAAATGAAAGATTAATCTGATAATGAAGTTAGTTGGTTCAAGTACTACGTTTTGGAAAAGGCAATTTATTTCATCTTTGCTTCCGTCGAGTCATCATACTAATATACCCTTCCTTTTCAGGCTCTAATGTCTCTTTCACTCCACAGGCTAATAATGTTTACGTCTCTTTTCAGCTGCTAATCTCGCTCTCTCTTTCAGGCGCTGAGTACTCGTTACTCGATGTCGTTACGCTAGGATATTAGTTGATGTGTTTTGATCGGGCGTTGCCATGGAGACGGGGCTGCTTTGCGAATATCAACCTTAAGTATGAGGTCTAATTGCATTCCTTGCGCGGTATAAAATAAAAAAAAATGTTTTTGCAATTATCATAAATTATCACCATTTTATATCAGAGCCAAAAATGTAATGGATTAAGGTTTTTATTTTTTTCATAAAGAACTACCGTCATTTATTTATACATACTATTACTTTTTACTGGCCGACTGGTAGAGAATGCCTTATGGCATTATGCCCGCCAATTGCTGTTTGTTTTGCAATAAAGTATAAATAAATAAAATACTATAATTTAGCTATTCTTTCCTAGTGTGTCACCAAGAATGGTTGGCGGAAATAAAACCGTTTATTTAAAAAAAATTTTTATTTATCAAATGATTAATATATTTTAAAATTTTCCTTTGGCTTGTAAGTTTTGAAATAACATGCCCATAAAATCGACACATCCTCTAAAGGACCATTACCAAACATACAAACAAACTTAAACTTAATTAATGGCTTAATATTGCTTTTTTTGACATGCAGTGTAATATCACTATATTTTCATGCAAACCAAACATTTAATAAAACACTTCTTTAAACAAGTATAAATCGCGTTTCTACATAAATTTAGACTCTGTCCGTGGTTGCAAGATGAAAAATTTTTACGTAACTTCGTCCCGTTTCCAAGGGCGGCCGACCAAAACTTGACCGTAATCGCGCCAATCTTTGACACCTACTGATCGCCACCTCCGTTCTAGGCAAAGACCGAGTTTATCGCTCTACTCAAGGAGAAGAGTGTGGACAGACACGCGAGATGGGCTGACGTCAAGAAGAAAGTGGACTCCGATGCCAGATACAAGGCTGTCGATAGCAGCACCATGAGGGAAGACTACTTCAGGGAGTACTGCAAGCTGGTGAAGGAAGAGAGGAAGAAGGAGAAGGACGGCAAGGAGAAGGAGAAGGGTGAGTGAGACAGACGATTTAGTTTTTTATAAGGTAGAAAGGTGATTCTGACGTCAGATACAAGGCTGTAGACAGCAGCACTATGAGGGAAGGCTATTTCAGGGCATAGTGCAAGCTTGTGAAGGGAGAAAGGATATAGGCATAAGAAAGTAGATTTAGCTGCCAGATACAAGGGCGTCGACAACGATATTAAATACCCTAGATAAACCACTTTCGCAGGCGTCAGCCATTGGATAGATGATCAAAAATCTCTCGTTCCTCCGTGCTTTGGAAGGCACGCTAAGCCGTTGGTCCCGGCTGCATCTGCAGTCGTTAGCACCCGCCAATCCGCAATGGGCCCGCGTGATGGATCATGGCCCAATCTCCCTATTCCATTCATAGGGAAAGCCTGTGCCCCAGCAGTGGGGACATTAATAGGCCGATGAGGATGATGATTAAATAAAACTAGTTTTAACGGGTTAATGCACGAAACTTTATTTATTTATTGACGTTTCGCATCCTTTTCAGGTCTGCATCGTCAGAATACTGATTTTTATTTAATTTTGTCGAGCTACCCTCGAAAGACTTTTATTGAGCGTTCGGTTATTATATTGGAAGATTTTTATAATTTTATTGTCCATGTATGAATTTATTAGTTAATTTAGTTAATAAAGTACTTTATTCAAAATTCTTTTTTGTAATTTTGAGTTTATTTATTTGACCCTAACTACCGTAATCTACCACCGGTTCCAAAATTGGGAGACCTTTTTGAGAATAACCGGCGAAACAAACTCAGAGAGGCTTTCTAGATGATGATGATGATTAATAAGTAATAAATTATTGTAGACCGCGAGCGCAGCAGTAAGAAGGAGAAGAAAGACAAGGACCGCGACAAAGAGAAGGAGAAGGAGCGAGACAAGGAGAGCAAGAAGAAGAAGGACAAGGGAGAGGTGAGTCTGCTTTGATATCTCTTGCTCGGTCACTAACTACTTTCATAAATAATTTCAATGACTCCGACATCTTGACGGTTTTTGAACGTTGTGAAATTTAGTACTGGTTTTCTTGTATTTCTGGAAAGCTTTAATATTTCAACACAAATCTTCAACATTTCTCATACATTTTTTAAAGGAACCGTATACGTGCGTACATATTATGCTAGCACTTTCCTTGGCTATTCGTGTTAGCTATTTGGAAACTTGAAAACAGTCCGCATCATGCTTCAAAGGTATGAAAGGGACAGAATGTTTTCCAAGTTTACGAATAGCAAATACATATATAATCAAGCGAATGCCGGCATTGGATTAAACTGAACAGTGATTCAGTGGTGTCGATTCTGGCAGGAATTTCTAAACTTAAAACTAAATTTAACATCAGTCTGTCCTTTTTACTCTGCATAGAGAATGACAAGGATACACTGTTGTCAAAGGAGATCCGCCAAATCCCATACAAAATTACCCCAGGTCCGGCGCCAAAATAAAGTAACTCAATTTTTAGAGGACAAATAGCAAAAATATTATATAGTTTCGGTATTGCTAAATTCACATGCTGATATAGTTTTTTTGCCAGTTCATTTTTAATAGGTGCTCTTTGTAAAATTATATTTTTTAGAGAAACGTCGTCATTTTTAGTTCATTAATCTTATAATTAGTGATTATGGCATATAAGCATGTATGTACTGTACTGTAAATATCATTAGAATATAATACAAACAAAAAGCTAAAACTAAAACATTTGACTTGATTCTTCTATTTATTTATGGGAAGTTTAAACTATTTTTTTTTTCTAAATAAAAATACAACTGCAAATGAAATATTTTTATATAATATGATTGATATACATGCTTATATGCCATTATTATTTATTACAATGTTAATGAACTAAAAAGGACTCATTAAATTTTTTTTTTTCATAAAGTGCCTATGAAAATTCAACAGACAAAAAAATTATGTTAGCATGCGAATTTAACAATACCGAAATTATATAATATTACTAGCTGACCCAGCGAACTTCGTACCGCCCTAAAAAAATAGGGGTTGTCCAGCGGACAAAATTGTGAATCTAAACCATTCTCAGATCCCCTTGAACACACACAAAAAATTTCATCAAAATCGGTCCAGTCGTTTAAGAGAAGTTTAGTGACATACACACTCACAGAAGAATTATATATATAAAGATTGCTATTTTTGCTCTAAAAACTGAGATACATTGCTTTAGCGTCGGGCCTGGGGTCATTTTGGCGGATCTCCTTTAAGTTTAGGTTTAGAGAATCGTGCCGGAATCGACGCCAGTGTTATATAAATGCATCGCAATCTTATTGTCTGTTTTAAATGTCATTAGGGTTTTAATTTTATTTTGACAAACCTGCTTCGGACTTGGGTGGTTGATTTTGGGCTTTGAAAAAGGTAATCTGTTGTTTGAAGCCCTTATTGGCTGGCGACAGTTGAACAGGTAAGGGTGGTTGTTGAAAATTAACATGTGTTTGTATTTTGTGAATATAATATATAAAGTAAGACAGAAGATGTTTTCTAAGGAGAGGTGTTACTAATTCTTGTCTATATATAAGTAGATGGTGAGAATAAATGGAATTAGCTTTGGTCCAACACACACCTTCGTTCTGTTACTTTAAAGAACCTTTTTTTTTTTTGTTGGGAAAATGCGTTACGCATACCCCGCCCTGGGTAGGTGGCGGGGTTATGTGTGACTCCTCCTCCCCCAAATCCTGCCTACCCGACCAGCCAAGCTGACTCGGCGGTTGTTCAGGATGAGGGGCCTCACCCACTAAAAACCCAACAGTGCTCCCTCGTCTGCCGGAACGGGTTCTGTGGGATCCGGATGACGCTCCACGTTACCCCGACAGAGATTCCTCCTCCTCCTGATGGTCAGGGGGATGCCCGGGAGCACCTAGGCATCTCCCCTCGACGGGTGAGACTGTGCAATGCGAGCGATACTTTAAAGAACCTGTATATCAATGCTTTTGTAGGATTCTGTAACAATATTTAATCCTAAACCTGTCCGACTGTCAGTTGGTGTCTCATGAACCAAAATTTTCCTTATTAAAAGTCATGAATTCTACAATCCTATCCGAATTTCAGATTGGGCCATTCATATAGTATAATGCGATTCAAATAAGAATAGGAAAGCCAATGACCTCCATCTGTCAAATGTCGCTTGAAAAAAAAAATCTCGGAACACTTTTTTAGCACTCAGGTAATTCTAGAATAAAACCAAACATTTTTAAACAAACAATAACAAATATTGATAATTAATATTGGTTGATATATTTTTTTCTTTTATTGAGTATTGACTATGAATGTTTTTTCTCGCAGTCTTATTAAAAAAATTTTATTAAAAAAACTGATGTTTTTTCTCATTTAATCTTAATAAACAAGTTTTATTAAATAAAAACTTTTTTCTGCTCACTCTACCTATTTGGTTTGAATTGACAGCTATGACGTCTTAGTTGACTTAGTTGAATCGCATTATACGTGACAATTTCGTTATTTTTTTTTAATCCCCCCCCCCCCCGTCCTTGTCACCGTAGGTCACGTTTGTGACCTCCTTAGTGTGACGTGACATATTTTACATCTAGAAATTATTAACTTAAAACAGCAGTTCCGAAATGTTGCCAACAAAACAAATTATAACCCATACAGATAGAGTTCTAAATATTTTAAAGTTTTTGATAAATAGTTCAAAAGCATTAGATTTTGGATTGTGGTGTCACCAAATTTAAGGACCCCGCCTCACCTCGTCACACAAAGTCGCACTTCGTCGACCTCCTCCCTACCTTAACGTGTGATGTACTTATGTGGGTCATCAATACTATCTCTGCCTGTCATATTCTGAAATTGTTTTATATCCATAACTGTAAATAAAACTGTTATAATGGATTTGGTCAATAATATACATATTATCGTACTATTCGCAAGTGCAATTCATGCTCGCGCACGTTCTTCCCCTCCTACAATCTGGGGTCCTTTATGAGACACGTGAAGAAGCATTTTTGCAGGCCGGCAAGGTGAGGATGGTTGGTGTGTCAGTTTATAACTGCTGTACCAGCTATCTTCGCGTCTGGGCTTTAACACCATTTAACATCAGGTGGGGAAGTCATTTGCGTACCTAGATATATATTTTTTTTGGTATTTTTTGAGTATTCTGCGTGAAGTTTTACAAACGTTTTAAAAGGGGTGATGACGGGGTACAGTAAACGAAATTCTATTTAGTCCGTCAGTTAGATGATCAAAAAATAATGGACACGTATTTTTTCTTTGGGCAGTCAGCCAAAAAATGACAAAGTTATAGCGCGTCAAAGTTTGGGAGTAGGGGCTCGTGACGTCACTTTTGAGTGAATTTTCCCTTATAAGTGTACTCAAACGTGACGTCATGCGACTTTTCAAATCAATATATCTCTGCAATGCTTATATTATGTGAAAAAAGAAAAAATACGTGTCCAATACTTTTTGATAATCTACCCGATAAACGAAGAAAAAAAAAATTAGTCATCATCCCTATTGTTTACTTAAATATTACCCCTTGCAGAGGTGTGGTCGTTCGTGATGTGGTTTGACGACGGGAAATCCATAGATAACTCAATTGCCGACTGTCATGATCTGCGGGGGGAAGCCCCGAGTGTAAAGAACAAAAAAAAAAGACTTGAATTTTTGCGTTCGAAAATAACTTTTATTTCAATCCAGTTTGTCATAAGTCGGCAGTGTTACCAGCATCGCAACGATCTATCGAAACTAGATTTTACTGTCTTTTTTTAAGTGTCCGAACCGACTTGCAAACTGGAATGATAAATTTCAAACGCGTCGAAATTATTTTCGCGATTTTTTCTATTTGAGTGCAGTGTTTTACGGTGCTTAGTGGGAGATTGCGGAGTGACTCGAGATATAGTATATGACATACTACTGGTGTATGTATCTTTATGTTTATATGCGAGAAAACACTGCATCGGACGTGGCTGTCTTTCAGGAAACTACACCGAGAGGGGGCTCTGTGTAGGGACCGGGTGAAGTTAAAGAAATTCTATTTAAAGCGTCAGTTAGATTATCAAATAATAATGGACACATATTTTTTCTATTTTCAATTAACCAAAGAAATAACAAAGATAAAGCGCGGTGAAGTTTGGGAGCTCGTGACGTCACTTCTAAGTAAAAATTTTGCCAGGAAATGACGACATTTTAAATCAACTCATAACTGTAATGTTTTGATTATGTGAATAAAGAAGAAAACGTGTGCCAAGACTTTTTGATAAACTACCTGATAGAAAAGTAAAAAAAAATATTCATCATCCCTATTATCAATCATATGTATTTTGTTTTAAAGATCAAAATGCTTTGTTTATCAAATCAAAACAGTTTTGAAGTGAAGACATGACACTTATTATCATGTTTACAAGCCTTTAGTTGTGCCACATAAGTAAAGAAGGCGCAGGCGCAGTGCGCGTGTGTGAGTGAGCCCTGGAGGCATGTCACTACTAATCGGGAAGAAAACTGCCAAAGGACAAGAATTCTGCAAAATTTGGCCACTAGGGGCGCTGTAATCGCTTGACCCAAAACTTCGATCAAATACATATATACATATTAGCTTATATTCATTTTTAAGCTTTTTATTAAACAACATACAAATGCGATGCTGTTTTTAGCTGTATTACAAACCATGTTGAATACATTTTCACCACTTATTTAATATTTTTAACAACAAAAAAAAAAACTTAAAATTTGTCAAGCGTTTGCAGCGCCATCTATGTCGAGCTTCGCGTATACTTCTCCATTCATCCCGCCACAGGCGCAGGTGTCGTAATGGCGCGTAACAACAAATCGAGACAGCTGTCAAAGTCACAAGGAAAACCGACGGATTCCGATAGACTTGGCCGCGTTCCAAACCTACGACCCAGCTGCAGCAAATGTCAAATTTGACAAAATTTTAATACACTTAGCCCCTTATT